TTTTTTTTTCTTTTGTAGAACTCAAAAGAGTTATCTAAAGTCTGTCTCCAATTCCTCATCTTACCATCTCTCTTCAACACACCCCAATAAGTTTTTGTCCCCAACAGTCCCCACTGAGACTATTTTTGTTGCTAAATTCAGTGGTCAGTTCTTAGTTTTAAATTACTTTTGAATGATCAGTAGCATTTGACACAATCGATCACTCCCTCCTGTGTGATATGCATCCTTTACTTGGTGTCAAGGATTTTACCCTCTCTTGGTTTTTTCCTACCTTGTTGGATGTTCCAGTCTCTTTGGCTATGTCCTCCTCTGCTCCCTGACCTTTCGATGTTTTAGTAGACCAGAGCTCAGTTCTAGTCTTCTTTCTTCTAATATAACTATTTCATTTACTTATTATATTTATTTTACCCCCTCCTCCCAGTAGATGGTTAGCAGACCAGGGATTTTTACCTGTTTTGTTCACTGATGTATCCCAAATGGTCACCACAGTAGCCGGCACATAGCAGGTACTTAGTGTGTTAAGTGGATGTGTGAATGAATCAGTACATGAGGACCTGGGAGTGAACGAGATTACCTATGGAAGGTGTGTGGGATGAAAGAAGTAGAGGGTGGAGGACTGACTCCTGGATTCTCCTTTAATCAATAAAAGAAGAGGAGTAATAACCTAGAAGTTAAGTTAAGTTTGGAGAGTATAACCAAAAGTCAGTTGTAGAAAATAATATCCAGGGAGAACTACCTGAATGATATATGGCCTATACATTCTTTTTGATATTCTGATTTTAATCTTTGGATTAAGTTAAACCATCAGAGAGCTGTATGTCTAGGACATTGTTATAGCTCCCTATGAAACTGTTTTTATTTTACTGAGCTTTGACTTTTGGCCATTAGCCTACCATGAAGGACATTATTTAAAAAATCCTGTGAGACTTCATTATGTCATTGAATTTACTGCAGCTGTGTTGTTGAGTGTGATGTTCCCTGTATCAGAAGGTGCCCTCTTTAAATGAGGACCAATGAGATAAAATTCTGTTGAGTTCAATAACAGTAGTAACTATGCTTCTTTTGAACAACTTGTTTGGTTTTATTTTATGGAGATTATATTTTGTGTCAGTGATCTTACTACTTTCTTTCCTCCCCCTCTTCCCTCCCTTCCTACTTTCTTTTACAATGCAGCAGTTTTAGGATATTCACAGAGTTGTGCAACTATGACCACAATCAATTTTAGTACATTTTCATTACTCCAAGATGAAACCTCATAGTCTTTAACTATTACTCCCAGGTCTCCCCATCCTCCCTAGCCCTAATCAACCACTAATCTATTTTCTGTCTCAGTAAACTTACCTACTCTGGGCATTTCATACAAATTGAATTACATAGTATGTGATCTTCTGTGTCTAGCTTCTTTTACTTAGCATAATGTTTTCAAGGTTCGTCCATATTATAGAACGTATCGGTACTTTGTTCCTTTTTATGGCCAAATGATGTTCCATTTTATGGATAATATCACATGTTTTTAATCTCCTCCTCAATTGATGGACATTTGGGTTGCTTCCACTTTTTGGTTATTATGAATAATGCTGCTATATGCAAGTTTTCATGTGAACATATGTTTTAATTTCACTTGGGTAAGTGTGTAGGAGTGGAATTGCTGGGCCAAATGGTAGCTCTGTGTTTAACTTTCTGAGGAACTGCCAGACTGTTTTGCAAAGTGGCTGTATCATTTTACATTCCCTGTGCAGTACCTTTGGCAGACTTGTAATTATCTGACTTTTTGAATTAGGGTGTCCTAGTGGGTGTGAAGTGGTTTCTGCTGTGGTTTTGATTTGCATTTCCATGATGACTAATGATGTTGAGCATCTTTTCATGGGCTTAGTGGTCATTTGTGTATCTTCTCTGGAGAAATGTCTGTACATACCCTTTGCTCATTTTTTAATTGTTTTGTCTTTTTATTATTGAGTTGTATTAATTCTTTATATGTCCTAGATACAGGTCCCTTATCAGATATATGACTTGTAAACATTTTTCCCTTTTTGTGGGTTGTCTTTTCACTTTCTTGTGTTCTTACTAAATTTTGATTTAGTCCTATTTATCTTTTTTTTGGTTGTTGCTTTTGCTTTTCTTTTCATATCTAAGAAATTACTGCCTAATCTAAGATCACGAAGATTTATTTTATTTCAAAATTGACAAATAAAATTGTATATATTTCTCACATACAACATGATGTTTGGAAATGTGTATACTTGCGAACTGGCTAAATCAAGTTATTAACATATGCATTACCTCACATAGTTACCATTGTTGTGGTGAGAACACTTAAAATCTACTCTTTTGGCATTTTTCAAGAATACAGTATGTTAAATATAGTCACCATGTTGTACAATAGATCTCTGGAACTTATTCTTCCTATCTAATTGGAATTTTGTATCCCCTGACTAACATTTCCCCAACTCTCCCCACCACCCCAGGTCCTGGTAACCACCATTCTACTCTTTGCTTCTATAAGACCAACTTTTTAAGATTCCACATATGAGTGAGATCATCCAGTATTTGTTTCTCTGTGCCTGGCTAATTTCCTTTAATGTAATGTCCTCCAGGTTTATCCGTGTTGTCACAAATGACAAGATTTCCTTCTTTTTATGGCTGAATAGTATTCCATTATATATATTCCTCATTTTATATATTCCTCATTATTTTATCCATTTATCCATTGATGAAACTTAGATTGATTCCATATCTTTGCTATTGTGAATACTTTAGTACACATAGTGCAGATATTTCTTCAACATACTGATTTCATTTCTTTTGTATATATACTCAATAGTGGGATTGCTGAATCATATGGTAATTCCATTTTTAATTTTTTGAGGAGCCTCCATGCTGTTTTCCGTAATGGCTATAGCCTAGGTTTTTTCCTAAGGATTTTATAGTTTCAGCTCTTACATTTAGATATCTGATCCATCTTGAGTTGATTTTTGTGAATGAAGTGGGGAAGAGGTCTACCTTCATTATTTGCATGTGGGTATCTAGTTGTCTCAGCACCATTTGTTGAAGAGACTACTCTTTCCCTGTTGAATTGTCTTAGTACTACCCTTGTTGAAAATGTATGGGTTTATTTCCAGGCTCTCAGTTCTACTGCATGATCTATATATCTGCCTCACTGCTTCTTGTTTTGTCTGCTGGGAAGCTTAGAGCCCAGTGTGAAACTACTGGCAGATATCTAGGAACCTCAGGGACTGGATTGGTAGACTCACATTATCCCCGGCTTTCCCTATTTCCCTTTCCCAAGTTTTCTTTTTTTGTTGTTGTTATGTGTGCTTTATGATAAGCTGCCTCGAATTCTTTGTAATGAGGTGTGGGACACTGATAAATATACACACTATCCTTATACTTCAGATGTTTTATTAATTAGTTCCATCTGAAGGCTGGCTAATTTATACATTTCACTTCTGTCAGTTTAAAAATATGAATTTTCTGTTAAATATCTTAAATGTTTCCTCCTGTCAAATTATCATCAGCTGATGTTGCTGCCTTTTTATTTACTTTTAATTAGAATTCAGACAGTTTCTAAGATTAGCACCTACTTGACTTTATTTCTGTCATTAATAACTTATTTTCATCTCCCTCCTGCATTTAACATGTTTATATTTTGTACACTGAAAAGTGTCCTGAATATAATTTGATGCTATATTCAGAAAACTGTAAATGTTTATATCTGTTTACTCAATAATCTCATTTCCAAGTATCTAGCCTAAAGAATAAATGTAGAAAAGCACATATTCACCTAGATGTTTGCGACACTTAATTTATAATTGTGAAAAATTGAAAATCACTGATACATCTTAGAATGGGGAACAGATAAGTTAGCTATATTATAGTCACTGGATGGAATATTACATACTTTTTTGAATTGATAGTGATAAAGACTCTATAGCAACTTTAAAATTAATGTGATATAATGTAAGTGAAAGAAGCACTGTGTAAAATAGGCATATCAGAAAGACTGTAGGGAAATACATAAATGGCAATTTTTTTTTCAAATGGTGAGAAAGTGCCTGATTTTTTAATTTGTTTAAATTTTATCACTCTTTTTTGTCTTTTAATTTAAAAACTGGAAATATTAAAATTTCTAATTTTCATAGAAATATTTTTTTTTTCCTTTCAGATGTGAATCTGGTTACACTGGACAGCACTGTGAAAAGACAGACTTTAGTATTCTCTATGTAGTGCCAAGTAGGCAAAAGCTCACTCATGTTCTTATTGCAGCAATTATTGGAGCTGTACAGATCGCCATTATAGTAGCAATTGTCATGTGCATAACAAGGTAGGTAATTATGTAAGAAATATCAACTTTAAATTAGAAGGAGATAGTTGTTAAATTAGACAGGAACCTTTTGAAGCACACTCAAGATGATAGATGCTTTAAGTCCATCTATTAGGAAAAATCCTATGATCATTTCCCCAAGGTTTCCATGTGGGTCTGACCTGTCCCTATCTTTCTTCTTATAAAATACAGGCAAGAACTCATTCCCAGGGTTACAGGTATATCTGGGCTGCAGGCAGAGGGAGCATGAGCACAGTCAATGAAATAAAGGAATTTAGGGACCTTAGAACTATGTAGTGTCTTTGAGCACTGCATTCAGGGACAATAATGGTAGTAATAGGATTTCTAGAATGGTTTGCACATGCGCAGAAGAGCCATGCAGAAGCTTTTTAAGCCCTGCAGAACTACAAGGTGTTTTATGCCCTAAGAGTATACTTTATCCGTAGGAAATATGGTAAGAAAGGAAGAAATCAGAGACTAAAGATAACTATTTTTCTTATTATATCATTGTTTTAACATTACTTGATTTTTCTGGATTACAGCAATAGGAATAACCTTTAAAATTCTCTGTCATAAGTAAACTATTTGTCATAAATGAAAGGACTTATTTGGAGCACAACTAGCATAAAATGGGTCTTTTCCAAACTCAGTGGAAATATGTAAGTCAGACTGAACTGGATCTGAGAAGGTCAGCAAATCAAGTTCATATTGTCTCTGTGCTTTTCAGTCTAATGTCCTTTCTTCCTATTTACCTCTTCCTACCTCCTTTAAGGTTTGATTCAGAAGTCTCGTAAACATCATCTCTCCACTTTTCCCATATTATTCTGGACAGAGGGTTGGAGCATATCAAATACAGATATTGGCAGGCCATAACGGATTTATGGCCCTCTGTCCAAGGTCTGGATAGAAGCCAGACCTTCAGTAGTCTCAGCCATCTGGAGCTAAAATGATAAATCCAGAAATGATAAAAAATGTTCTCCGGGTAACAGATATTTTTCATAAAATGCAGGCACTAAAGTCATTGCACTTTATTTCAAGAACAGATGATCTGCCCTTAGGCAAGACTACTGAGTATAAAATTGGGCAGTAGATAAAAGTAGGGACATGATGATATAACAAATAATGACAACAGAAAGAGATAGGAAGAAAACATTTAATAGCAGAGCTTGCTGTGGCCATTTAATATAGGCTCAGAGGTTTAGTAATTTGCCTGTGGTCATCCAACTAGTAAATCAAAGTGCCTGGATTTGGATTCAGTACCGTCTAATCCCCCCAGATCATTCCTCTGTCCACTGAACCATCAAGAGGAGGGTCCATGTTGAGTCATCTGGGAAGTATGTTTACCAAGTATGATCATTGCATGGGAACAGGGCTCAAATTTGATTTTGTAGCAATTTAGGGTTTTTGAGCAGGGGAACGACTTGGTATAAGCCATTTTTTTTCAGAATATTAATCAGAGAGTTAATCTGCAAAATTCAATGGAGTAGTGAACATGTGAGGTGGAAGGAGACCATTTAGGACATTATTAGAATGAAGCAGGAGTGGGATAATAAACAATTTGGAAGGCAATAAAAATAAAGTCCTCAGGAAAGATTTTTGAGTCCTGGTGATAGTGCCATTTTTAAGAGGATCAAAGGATATGAGAGTCACTGAGAAGCAACTTTGAGTTCAACCCCTTCATTTAGAGAAGTGAGGAAGCCCTGAGGTAGGAAGTAGCTTGCCAAGGTCATAGAGCTGGGTAAGCCCTCTTACAACTCCTAAATGCAGCCTTTTACCCAACTTTCTGCTTCTGTTCTCAGTGTGCTGTATTCTTCAACTACTAAATTAGAATTATCTGGCATGTAGGTTTAAAGTTGGTGCTCTCTAGTTTGTACCCCCGATCCCTTTGCCGCCCTCACAGCCACTTAGACATCACAGGATATTTCTAACTGTGTCTCAGTGTCTTCACTGCCTACTGGCTCCACGAGTGAAGGGTCATCTCATAAATTTATCACAGATTTCCCCTTGAGGCCTGTCTTTTTATTGTGGTATTCCCCCGCTAGAATGTCTTGCTGTCTTGGATTTGGAATATTACTTACTATAATTATGTATGTGGACTTATCTCCATTTTAAGGAGTGTCTCTCCCACACAGTCCACTGTGGGACAGCTATTCACATAGACTGTGGTGGCCGTTACATGGAAGGGAATCTTCCTTTAAAAAGATGTTCCCATTGACCCACTTTCAAGACTGCATGAGTCAGATTTTCTTTTATTCTTGGAATCTTCTTTCATGTTTTTAGACTCATAGAATGACAGATTGGCAGGGACCTTGAACATCATCTTAACCAACCCCCTTATTTTGTAGATTTAAAAACCATGGCCCTAGGAAGTTGGAGCTTTTCCAAGGTCATGATAAGTTAGTAATGGCAAAAGAGGGTTGCTTGACCTCTTAACCAGTTTCCTCATTTATGAAATGGAGGTGATTCCAGCTCTGTCTACCTCAAAGTGTTTTAATGAGGATTAGTGATATAAAATTTGTGAAAGCCATATACAAAATGAAAGTATTATCATCAAGGCTTCTAAGTGAAGGCAAAGCTGTGCTCTTTGAAATGGAATAAAAACATGGGACATTAGAGTAGGAGTGCTGATTATTGTAAGACTTTCTTTCCATTAGATTGTTTCATTCTGGCAGAGATTTTAGAGGTTAGTCCAACTCCTAATTTAATATTTTATGTATAGGAAAATTGAGATTACACAGCTAGTTATTAGCAGAGCCCAAACTCAGAATGACCAGAATTCATCCCAACCCTTTTGGTCCACATTGTGTAGTACAGCACTTTGTGCTTGTTAGTACGAACTATGTCTGCAATCTAGTGTGCAGACACAAGAGCAGTTACAGCACAGTGAGATTTATACCACTGTGGAGAAACATTTAGGGTAAAATGAGAGCAGAGTCAAGGAATATCCCTTACCTTCAGCATGGTGGTTCTGTGATTTGCCCCAGCAGGGTGTGGAACAACTTCTTTGGAGTCACTGTCTAAAATCAGTAGGAATTCCTATGTATTCATATCTGAGGTTAATAAGCACACTTCTTGATTTCTCCCTTTGTCTAAGCTGTTCTTGTCATTTTGGAGGTGTCGTAATGCTCAGGGAAAGTACCTAGGCCAAGGTCCTTTCTACTGTCACAGATTTCGTATGTTATCAGTCACCGTGGCTGGGGAGTTGCCAGGCCAGAGGAAGGGCAGGGATTCCTGCCAGGAATGCATATGCTGCAGTACAGACACGAGGAATGAGTCTTGCTTGTGTCATTACCTATGTCATAGATCTAATCCTCTCAACTTCCAGCTTGGTAGAGAAGGTAGCAGTCTGACATTGTGTTTATCCTCACCTTGTGCACTAGATGCCATCTTGTTTCCCCTTCCTGTAATTGCATGCAGTGCACCTTTATCTGTGAAATGTGTTTTACTTTGAAACATTTGAAATCTTCTGAACAGAATGATCAAAACAACATACTTTTCTTTCTTTTTGTTTTTATGCAACAGAAAATGCCCCAAAAACAACAGAGGACGTCGACAGAAGCAAAACCTAGGTCATTTTACTTCAGATACATCATCCAGAATGGTTTAAACTGATGACTTTTATATGTACACTGACCCATGTGATGTACATTTATTATGTCTTTTTTTAAAGAATGGATATATTTATTTCAGAGGCCTTATTTTTGGACATTTTTAGTGTAGTACTGTTGGCTCGTATTTAGAATATTCAGCTACAACACTTTTGGACTGTTTAGTAGTCTTTGTTTTATGTTTTTAAATACAGAAATTGATTTCACAAATTTGTACCACATGTTAATTCTAAGACTCGTTCTTTACCCATGGAATGTAATATTTTTGCAAAGATGGACCACTTCACAAATGGTTATAAAGTCATACCCACTTCTTCCACAATGACCACAGCAAGTGACCAAGCATGAACTAAAGGTAAAGATGTTTACAGATTACTTTTCTTACAAAAAAAATCTAGAAGACACTGTGTTTAAATAGATATTTAAATGTTTTTGAGATTTAGTAACTGATTTTTTAGACACTGCGTATTGCATGAACTGTAAAGCTGTGTGTGTTAGATGTAAAATATAAGATGTATGGATTGGAATTTGATTATTCCTCTCTTTGACAAAATATTCTAATAATTTGAAAAGTATCTGGTAGTAATGATGGAACAAATCACTGAAAAGTAGATTTAGATATTGTGAAAATAGGCTGTTTAATAAACAGATTGGAATAAAGCCTATTCTATCAGTTAAACTACTTTAATACACATTCATTTTTAAAGAAAATATTTGTTTTAACATAAACAAATTGTAACAGTGTTTGTGAATAAAATGCAAAAATAACCGTTAATGACTGGTGCTCTTAAAGGGAGCTTAAACATTATCTAAGACCTCTATCCAAATTTGTCCTGTAGTAATAGCTATATTAATAGATTGTTGGTGTTTAAAGATCTGAAGTGTGAGTAGAATGTATTCAGCTGTTTAACATGTAGTTTAGATATTCAAAAGTATGCATGTAGAATTTAAAGAATATGTTAAAAATTAAATATTAATTTTAATATTTGGTTTGGAAAAGCATGTTATAATATAATGTTTTCACTATATGGCCTCTGTTTCGGTGTGTTTTTTTACTGCATTCTTTGATACTGAGATATTAGTACATTTAATATGTGAAATTAATAGAAAAAGCAGATTTCAGTTTAAAATTCTCTGCTTTTACAAATACTGCTGGAAATTATCTAAAGGCAAAATCTTCACCCAACATTTGGAGTTTGCTTTTTTGGTCATTTGGCCTCTAGCCTTAATATAAGTCACATAGCGGCTTTAGTGAACTTTTTATAAAAAGCTTTCCTCTTCTACCCACACAATCTTATTTGAGTCCCTTAGTCAGTCAGCAAGCATGTTTGGAACAGTCCCCAGTGCTTTGCAAGGGTTCATATTGCAGAACAGTCACGTATGGGTATTTGTAGTTATAAATACTTGACCAGTCTCCAGGGGTGGGGTTTCCAACCCTTTAAACAACCTTGTTGCCTGTTATCAAGCTGACTTTTTGCTCCAAGTGCCAGAATTGATTGTGATTAGGACATCTTTTGCTGAGAAATAAATAAAATGGAACATAATGGGTCTGCTTCAAATGCTGATAAAATCCACCAGAATCGCTTATCAAGTGTTACAGAAGATGAAGACCAAGACGCTGCTCTTACCATTGTGACTGTGCTGGACAAAGTGGCCTCCATTGTGGACAGTGTGCAGGCAAGCCAGAAGAGAATAGAAGAGAGACACAGGGAAATGGAAAATGCCATAAAATCTGTCCAGATTGACCTGTTGAAGCTTTCACAGTCACATAGTAATACAGGCCATATCATTAACAAGTTGTTTGAGAAAACCCGAAAAGTGAGTGCGCACATTAAAGACGTGAAGGCCCGGGTGGAGAAGCAGCAAACTCATGTTAAAAAAGTTGAAGTCAAGCAAGAGGAAATAATGAAGAAAAACAAATTCCGCGTGGTAATATTCCAGGTAAGTTTACACTTTGTATTCAGCTTGATGATGACAATCTCGTTTCTTTTAGCTGCCAACAGGTCATATCAGAGGTTTCCAAAGTCACATCTTAACTATTGTATATATTAATGTGATGGAATTCTTTATCAGCAGAGATCTCAGGATAAAACCACTTACATGTTAACTAACGTACTATCATATCAGTGTTTTGAGCCTCTCAACCGTTTCATGTAATATGAACTGTGGCTCACAGCTTAGGCTATTTCTTGCCTTTGAAACTTAATATTGGTAAGGCTCTTTCAGCATATTAGCCTTATTAGCATGACGCCCTCCCATAGACTTGAAGAATGTTAGAACTGGGAGAGACCTAAAAAGTCTCTACTTTAAAACACCTCTTTGTTATTTAAAAGAAGAAACTGAAGACCAGTAGCTCCACAATATGGTTTTTTCCCTTATCAAGGAGAACCTAGAACGCCGCAAACAGTAATATATAAACTTTTCAGAATATGACTTGTTATTGGAATTTTTGCATCTAAGTCACAATAATAAGAAAAGCTGCCTTTTTCTTGATCAATTATTCTCATTTTCCTAATTGTTATTATAGTAATACAAATATAAGAGTCACATAAATAATTCCTTATATTTGATTATAAAGTCCTTTTACGTAACTGATTTTTGTGTGGCATTATGTATTCTGCTAAGTTCCCATATTACTCTGCCCTTGACACTCATATTTTAGCAAATAGGAACATATCCATGGTAAATGCATAATATCTACAATATATTTTTAAAACAATAACAAAGGAAAAGGAAAAGTTGACCACTTCTCGCAGTAGAAAAATGGAAAGCTGTTATCATAAGGTAGTTTATAAAAGACAAATAAGAACAGGATTCCACTTTCCCCTTCTTAAATATTGGCTGTTACTGAAACATATACCCAGAGTTTAAGGGTTGGAAAAAACAAGCACTTTCATATTCTGCTGGTAGAAATATTAATTGGTACAACATTTCTGGAAGACAATTTTGGTAGTATGTATTAAGAACTTAAAAAATTCACAAACTTTTTAGCCCCCAAATTTTATGTCAAAGAATTAGTTCTAAGCATAGAATCAGGAATGTGTGCAGGGATGTTCACTGGTGCATATATAAAGTGTTATCACAACTGTATTTTTAAAATCAATGCCTATGTGAATAGGAAAAAAACCTAGAACAATAAAAACAAATGAAATAGGAACATAGTTGGATTATGTGGGAGATATTTGTGAAATACTAGGGATATGGCCCGTAACTCCCCACAGCATTCTTCACACATTAGGCAATTTTCCATAGCCCTCTGTTGACTGATAAAGTTACACTGTGATGGTAGAGTGGTATTTTGGATCTGTTTTTAAGAGCTTGTAGGTTATTTAGGAAAAAGAATAGGGAAGAGAGAAAAGAGTTGCTTATTTCAAAGAGATAGGGTGGACTATGCCATTCAAAGTCCTTTACCGTGTCCTTTTCTTTTCAGGTGCCTGGAAGCCCTTGCCTAGGCTTAAAAATTAGAAAAAATCAGTCACCTTACTTGCAGAGGCCAGTTCTACTGTTAGTGTATGTAGTGGGTATCTAGGTTTGGTTTTGGAGAATGTAATACCATTCTTTGATTCACCTTCTAAGGGCATTAGCAGTAGTGGGTATATCTCACCTTCCACTTGCATGGGGCATACCCAGGAAACATACTTGGCGTCCAACACGTTTGAGAACTTTGTGCAAAGCAGTGGACTAAGCGCCAATTAAGATTTACAAAGGCTAGAGCAAAGAAGTGTCTGAAAAGTTCTCATTGACTGTCCATTGACATAATTCTTTTTTAAAAATTAAGATATTTGCATATTTTCCTATTTAGTCCCTGTAACTTATGCTAAGTAATTTACTGCTTCCTTTCTTTGAGCCCCTGTAATTATTTAAAGCAACTGAGAAGTGCTAGTTTAGGTCAGATCTCTTTTCTTGTAAGAAATAATGCCATGAAGATTCTGTGAAATTAAGTTGTTCAGAGTAAGCGGCAGTTTGTCAAAAAGCAATTGCTATCATTTATAATGGGAGAGCTTGTAGAGAAAGATAAATGGACATAGAAATCTGATTCAAAGATCCATTAGATGTTAGAATGCTATATATAATATTCACATGATTATTCTTAGCAATTAAAATTAGTTATAGGCTGGGCGCGGTGGCTCACGCCTGTAATCCTAGCTCTCTGGGAGGCTGAGGTGGGCGGATTGTTTGAGCTCAGGAGTTCGAGACCAGCCTGAGCAAGAGCAAGACCCCGTCTCTCCTAAAATTAGAAAGAAATTAATTGGACAACTAAAAATATATAGAAAAAAATTAGCCGGGCATGGTGGCGCGTGCCTGTAGTCCCAGCTACACGGGAGGCTGAGGCAGGAGGATCGCTTGAGCCCAGGAGTTTGAGGTTGCTGTGAGCTAGGATGACGCCAGGGCACTCTAGCACGGGCAACACAGTGAGACTCTGTCTCAAAAAAAAAAAAAAAAAAAAATTAGTTATAATTAGTTGTCATAGATAAATGGTTATATTGAGATTGCCCCTTCAAATTAACAGTTGCTACTGAGCAATTCAGCCACAGCAAAAAAGATCTATTTCTTATACAATTATGGTTTCTCTGTGAACATACTTTCACCTTGATGATCCCTCTCATCATGCAAGTAGAAGTCTTACCATATCTTCTGGTAATTTTGGTTACTAACCACATGCTCGTGGTTACCAAATAAAATATTTGGCCATTCCCTAAATGGTAAGTCACAGATTTTTATATATTTAAAATTCCCCTAGCTATATTACTTTGATAGTCAATCAAGTCAACAGCATTTATTATGTTACAAAAATGTGTTTTTTAACCTAGACTTTCACATTAAAAGTTATAATTGGAAGTCAACTATAGTTCAACCTTACAATCTTCAATTATTATTTCAGTCTATTCACTGTTAACTCATGATGTCTCTGGCTCGTCAGACTTTCAACAAACAGAGCCCAGGCCAAGTACTTTTTTGGACTCTGTCTCTGTTTCGTTTTGTTTTAAAGCCTGATTTTGTATTATTTGTTGTATAGTTGGAGAAGGGTGTGTGATTTCCTGAGTCATGCTATATCATTTCTTCACAGCAAGATTGTGAGAGTTTTTTTCCCCCTACCAAGCAGTAATTACTCTTTGGCTCTTTCCTTTTCTAATTATACCTTCTCAGGCCATACCAACCCACACTGTGTTGCTGAAGCTACTCCCTGCAGCAGGTGTCAGGAAAGGAGAGGAATAATTCCGCTGCTTCTGACTGATTCATCAGAGAGTTATGAGACGCCCACCCCTGCCTTTTTTAGCTCCTAGACTCTCTAATCCTGTAGCCAAAGAATTTAATTTTAAATAAGTATCCAAAGAAATACGGTGCCAGGGATACCTTCTTGACTATCTGGCTGATTTTGAAATATGCATGAATGTGTTTCTTATACATTTATTATATTTTTTGATTGCATAGATTTAATCTGTATCTCATGTGGAAGGCACAGTTTCTTTTAGAAATTTTAACTTAGTTCAGTTGAAAAATCTCATGATCTTTCAAGTTTTACCTGTTTTAGAAATAATCCCAGAATAGTCAGTGGGTTCCTTTAGCTGCTGTGGTCTGTGCTGGCTCTCACAGTCTCTAGTGTCTGTCATGTTCCAAAATCCAATTCTTATCCTTATTCTTCGACACATTTGACACAGTGGGTCCTTCTTCTCTTCCTGAAACTTCTTTCCCCTTGTTCCCCTTGGTGTTTGGGGGTGCTGTTTTCTTTTGGATTTCCTCCTGACTCAGTACCTGATATTTCTCCTTTTTTGGTTTTTCTCATCTCTTCCTTCTTATCTACAGGTCCAAAGTCCATGATCTATATTCAAAATCCAGAAATTTCTAAAAATAAATATTTTTCATAACTTACGTGACAGCAAGACCCTAGCTTAACTTGAACTCATTCAGTGGGAAAACCTGACTTGTAGGAGCATGGGGCTATTTATAGTCTTTATATCCCACCTTAGTGTGAATATTCATATTTTTTGCCACAGAAATGTTTCTTCCCAAGATCTCACTGGGAATGTTATATAATAGTTTTCCAAAATCTAAAATATTCTGAATTCTGAAACACACCTTGGCCCCAAGTAGTTTGGAATAAAACAGAGCGTGGACCCATTTGCTCAGTCTCTTGGCAATCTCTTTCTTCCAGTCTGATGACTTTTGATTCCATCTTTACATCAGTGACTCCTCAGTTTTTGTGTCTAGCCCAGCCCTCTCTTCTGAACTCCAGACTCATCTACTTAGCTGCCTGCTCTGCGCCTCTGCCATCCTGTGCAGTGGGCCTCCCAGAGACAACGTGTTCAGATCCCACCTTTCCCCTCCAGTCTTCGTCTCCTGCCGTCTCCCATCTCAGTTAATGGCAGATCTGTCCTTCCTTTGTCCAGGCCACGTACTTGAGGATCACCCTTGACACACTAACACTCCACCCCCAAGTCTAGCAGCAAATCCTGTTGGCTCCTACCTTCAGTGCAGATCGGGAATCAGACCACTTCTCACCCCGCCTCTGCCAGCAACCTTAGTCAGCTCTCACCTGCCTCATCTCAGTGCTGTCCACCTGCTCTCCCTGCTTCTTGTCTTGCCTTGCAGCCTGTTTTTAACAGAGTGATCTGTTTACGGTGTGGGTCAGATCATGGCACTGCTCTCCTCAAAACCTTTTACAAGGCTTCCTGTCATCCTCTGAATAAGAGCCACTGTCTTACCATTAGACACAGAGCCCTGCCTGATCTGGCCCTCTCTCCCTGCCTCTCTGCTTCCTGTTGCCCCTTGCTCACTGCTCTAGCCATGTGGCGCTCCTCACTGTTTCTCTCTTCCTCTCAGATACATGCACAACCCTCAGGTCTTGGCCCAGGTGCCACCTTATTAGCAAGGCCTTTCTGACCTCTGTTGTCCAAACAGCACCCTTCCCTGTCACTCTGTATCCCCCTTCCCTGCTTCATTTTTCACCTTAGCGCATGTCACCATCCAACATACTACGTATTTTACTTGTTTATCTCTTTCTAAGAATATAAACTCTTTTTTATCTTCGCAGAAGTTTCTCAGTTCCAAGAACATAGACTGTTACATGGTGGTGCTTAGTAACTCTTTGTTGAATGAAGGTGTAAGCCTCTTATTTGATCCAACAAGCATTTATTGAGTATATCTACTATGTACAAGGCCCTTTGATGGATGCTGGGCATAAAACATAAATAAGACACATTATCTCTGCTTTCAAGGAATCTGTCACCTTGTGAAGGCCTCGGGGAGATGTATATAAATGGGTAGAGTTCTAATTCAATTTGAACTGTGGGCTGGGCATGGTGGCTCACGCCTGTAATCCTAGCACTCTGGGAGGCCGAGGCAGATGGATCGTTTGAGCTCAGGAGTTCGAGACCAGCCTGAGCAAGAGTGAGACCCCGTCTCTACTAAAAATAGAGAAAGAAATTAGCTGGACAACTAAAAATACAATTAGCCGGGCATGGTGGTGCATGCCCGTAGTCCCAGCTACTCGGGAGGCTGAGGCAGGAGGATTGCTTGAGCCCAGGAGTTTGAGGTTGCTGTGAGCTAGGTTGATCCCACGGCACTCTAGCCTGGGCAACAGAGTGAGACTCTGTCTCAAAAAAAAAAAAAAAAAAATTGAACTGTGATAAATGTTATAAATAGAGGAATGTGTGTGTTCTTTTGGTGTAAATTTCAGATAGAATCAGCCACTTGGGGAAGTTGGGGGATTTGAATTGATTCTCAAAGAAAGATTTCATTCACAGAGCTGAAAAAAGGACAAGGGGCATTTAAGGTACCAGAAACCACCAGGCGCAGGCGCAGTGGCACACGTCTGTAGTCCCAGCTACCTGAGAGGCTGAGCTGGGAGGATCCCTTGAGCCCAGGAGCTCAAGTCCAGCCTGGGAAACATAGTGAGACCCTGCCTTTAAAAAAAGACATCAGAAACTACATATACAAAGGCATAGAGGGATGAAGACATTTTGTGCTTGAGGAATTGAGAGTGGTTGTGTGTTGCTGGGCTGGAGAAGTGGGAAGGTAGGTTTAGCTAAAACTGAAGAACTTCTAATCATACTGAAGAATTTGAAGTCTGACCTTCAAGTATTGATGAGCTCTCCAACATTTAAAGCAGAGACGAGATGTGATCAGAGCTATGCTTTAGAAATATTTCTCAGGAAATCTGTGGGTGATATTCTGGAGGTTAAGGGGGCAGTGAGGAGGTACTGTACAAGTTCAGGCCTGAGAAGACAAGGACCAGAATCAAGACACTGGTAGAGGGAATGACGAGGGAGGAGGGAACATACAAGTTATTAGGCAGTGTTATTCATGGGGCTTGGTGACCAGTTGGATAAGGGATGAGAAGGAGGGGAAATAAATACATGGGATGATGATTGGGGTTTCTATCTTACGTGTTAATGCTGACACATACAGGGAAAGAAGTTGAAGTGGAGAGGATGGTGGATGGGCCTTGATTTTTGGCTTGGTAAGTTTGAGATGCCTGCGTCACACTAGGTGAAGTCTGCCCATCATTTAGACATGTTAAGAGAAGGGGAGAGGTGAAGATAAAATACCTGTGAGTTTGTCTCCAAGTGGATATGAAGGCATAGGAGTGGATAAGTTTGCTCAGGGTGAGCTGGGGAGATGAAGAAGAGAAAAGGGCCAAAGAGCAAGAGAAACCCTGAGAAATGCCAACATTTAAGGAGCAGGCAGAGGATAAGCAGCCGAGGGATGAGATTTACGAGGCATGGCCAGGAGGTGAAAGAGCTGATCTCTAGTGCAAAGGAAGCACTAACCCATTTGTTTTTATCTCCTTCAGGAGAAGATCCGGTGTCCGACGGCCCTGTCTGTTAAAGAGAGAAACCTAGCTGAGAACCAGGAGGAGGAAGAGGAGGACGATATCTTTGATCCCCCAATAGATCTCTCTTCGGATGAAGAGTATTATATTGAAGAAAGCAGATCTGCCAGGCTTAGAAAGTCAGGCAAGGAGCGCATTGATAATATCAAAAAGGCATTTTCTAAAGAAAACATGCAGAAGACACGCCAGAATTTTGACAAGAAAGTGAACAGAATTAGAACTAGAATAGTGACCCCAGAGAGGAGAGAAAGGCTGAGGCAGTCAGGAGAGAGGCTGAGGCAGTCAGGAGAGAGGCTGAAACAGTCAGGGGAAAGATTTAAGAAATCTATTTCTAATGCTACTCCCTCAAAGGAAGCCTTTAAGATGCGTAGTCTCAGGAAAGCTAAGGATCGAACTGTGGCTGAAGGTCAGGAAGGTGACAGGGAGATGGGGGTGGACATTATTGCCAGAAGCGATTCTCTGGGCCCCATCAGTGAGCTCTACCCTGATGGGCTCAATGAACCAGAACACGAGGCAGCCAGGGCAGTGTATCCTCCCCGAGAAGCGGGGGACATCCCCACCCCTGAGCCTTTGAAAGTTACCTTTAAACCTCAGGTGAAAGTAGAGGATGATGAATCTCTTTTGTTAGATTTAAAGCAGTCATCATAAAGAGGAATTAAGTATATCCTAAATATAAATCTCCTTAATCATGCAGTTTTAGTTTGAATAGTGTAGTCATTTACATTTGTATGCCATATGGGAAAACAGAAATGGTATGGCTGTTTCGTGTCTTACATTTAAAATCTTGAAGATAATATAAATATTATATACATTTCCTTGTAACTTCCTGGGGAATTCTTTTTTTTTCTCCTCCCTGGGCATATGTGATTCTAGAAGCTTTTTCTCTGATGTTACTCTTTCTCATGGCAGCTGTGGATTTTTAAGTTCCTTTCTCTTTCCTGTCAGAAATGTAGATTCCTAGGTCAGGCCAATTAGGTGGTTGGTCATCTGGAACAAATAAAGGGCAAATCTGTGGCCATGATTTGCAAGTGAACTCTAAATATTGGTCTGGATCAATGTTGTGGCCAACCTCAAAGGGGAATAACTAATGTGGATTGTATCATGCAGATGTTCAAATCAACAGATGTGTTAGTAAGCTAGTAGTCACACCCCTTTTGGGATGCTTTTGCATAAAAAAATTGAAGTTCTGGACTTGAGCATGTGGCTCTAGCATCATAGCTTTACTTTTAGTGAAACACTTGGCAAGTCATCTGCTTATTCTCATCAATAAAATGGAGAGAGTTATCCCATCCTGCCTATCTCGGAGGACTGTTGTGAAGACCAGAGGGCACGTTTTACATTCTGGGGGAACAAGAAGCACACCCAGAGAAAACAAGCCTCAGTAGTTCCTCAAAACTAGAATCAAAATAATTACACCTTCCGAAAAATCCCTGAGCACTCATCAATGAGGTCCTTGGTTGGACGGAAACGAAAGTTCGTCTTCAGAGCATTTTCACAGAATTATCTGTGAAAAACAGATGTTTGGGTGACCACTTTTTCATCAAAGACTAAAACCAAACCATAGGTTTTAGTTGGGTCTTAAAATGTTACCTAGCAAACCCTTTTCTAATTTCCTTTTGATTTAGATCTATGGTGGACTACAGCCACGTTTGTTTGAGCAGCATGAGACAAAAACTGCGGCTTTGATGTCCTATGGCCTTTCTAAAGTCAGCCCTGATGCACTGTGTTTGGAAATGACCTCAAATCTTTCCGTTTCCGGGAGTGAATCCTTCAGGGCCCGACATCCAAAACAGCATCTGTAGGAGTTCATCATAGCTGCTTTGGGAGGAAGCCAGATTCCCTCTTATCTGTTAGCTTTAGATCTGTCCAGTCAGGAAGTAGATATCGTTGCTAAAGAAAGAAATGATCACACTGGTTTGCCAATTGTAGCATGCTTAAATCTTCTAGTTTTGTAATAGGGAAGAAATGATGGAATTGTTGAATTCGAAGAGTTTGGACAACAGTCAGATCCCACTTTTTTCTCACTTTCAGATCAGTTTTGGATAATCAGGTAGTAGTTAAAAATAGTAAGTGTACACATAGGCACACAGGCACAGCTTTAGAATATTTGACTCAGTTACTCAGATGTGGGTTTGGGAGTTTAATTCAGCATCATTTCATCTTCACCCTGTATGAACACATAAAATTGTACATCATGCATCTTGTTATCTTACTATATTAAAAATTAAAGTGTGTACAACATTGACTAATACTTTTTAAAGAACATTTTTTTAAGAAAAAACTTGGATGCCAAACTCACATATTTTCTTAAGAGCCATAAGAAATTTCAATTTAAAAAGACATTATTACAAAGTTTGATGCCAATGTCCTAGTTGTAAATATTTTTACTAATAATGAATGCAAACCATGAATATAAAGAAACTTTTTCTTTTTTCTAGCCCAATGTAGAATAAATATCAATTGGGCTAAAATAGTTTTCTGCAAATATTACTGTCAAAGAATTTTTGTAAAGTCAGTTTGCTTACTGACCCATTATATAATCAGACTTGACATTTTGTGGAACATTTCCCATACGGATATATTTGAATTTTGATGAGGAAGGAGTTATAACCTAGTCAGCTCTTCAACCTGGTTGACTTTGTGCAACCCCAGAAACACCGAAACAATTTCATGTCCCTGGAGGTTCATTGTAACCTTCTCCTTTCTTGTTACTAGTGGGATTGTCCCTCCATGTTGCTTCTGTCTCTTGACATTTCTTCCCATATTTAGGGCATTCCTAAATTCCACATTCATAATTTCTTCTCCTTTCACTTTATTTTCTTGTGAACTTAATGAGTTGCAAACATTGGATGTGTGAACATGGGTTCACACATCCCATTTAATGTAAAGGGTATTCTAGTCAACGTTCCTATTTTAAAAGTTTCAGACAACACAGAATAGATTATTTTACTTACTTTACTCATCTGTGTTTCAGAAATTTTGCATATCAGATTTTAAACAATTCATTCAAATGAAACCATTAGCAGGATTTATCCCCTTCTGCTGAGGCAGGACAGTGCAACATCCATAGATACAGGGGTGTGTAGCCCACTCACAGGCTCTTCTACAGAACAGATAGAACAGAGAGGTGCACGTCTGTCTTAGAGAAACAGGGCAGATGTGGAACAATTATAAAGAGCATGGAGATTCAGCTTGCTGACAGTATACTTGCGGTGTGTGTGTGAAGTCCCTTGAGTAAGCTTTCATAAATTAAAAACAAACCAAAATAAAAATACAAACCATTTCGATTTCCTTCTTTGCCTTCCATACACATTAAGGGGTTTGGTTTAGACCTAAGCTTGATGTTCATGGTGATTGGCTAAAACGCATGGGTCATGTTCTGTAAAATATTCCACAGAACTGTTGTTAACTGTGCAGTTCCATTACATGAAATGACGGGCCTTATTTTCTTCTGTTTTCTATAGCTTCTTTTATTGAACCCTGCTAAGAAAATTACAGATTATGATCCCCGAATAGGGGGGATGACCACGATGGACTCATCCTCAATTCTATTTGAATTTGGGACATTCTGGGCACTGGTCTGTCATGAATGAAAAATGAAAAAGCCTCATGCTAAATTTTGTGAGTCATTCTTGTGACCACCTCTAAGTTACGTCTGAGAATTTATAGTTGTCCTTCCAGGGTCAGACTCCATCAGAGTATTTCATAAACAGTGGATAGGAGATTTAGCATAACTACTACTTCACTGTAAGTCTCCTAGAACGTCCACGGATCCTGTGAGGATAGAACACAGTGGGAGAACATTCTCAAGCTTTGAATTTATTCTGGGCATCTCCCTAAAATCAGCTGTTTGTCAAAGGGCCCTCCCCAGACCGCTCTGCCGCTTGGTGCCTTTGCTCGTGCTGTGTGTCTGGAGTTCCACCTTTCCCTTTCTTTCTGGGAGATGACTTTCAAGTTCAGTGATAATGGCAGTTTCCTTGTTTTAGCTTTCCCTGGTCACCTCATCACCTACGAGGGGCATGATTCAGTACATACAACATCTTTACTTACCAAATTCTGTGAGGCACTGAGGATTCAAAGATAAGCAGAAGTTCTCTCCTCTGGCTCCTTCCCATCCCTTACTTCAGGCTCACAGTGCTCTGGGAGATAGTCAGGCAAAAAATTTCAGCAGTGTGACTCGTGCTGTATGTAAGATGATGGGACCGTAGAGATGGAAGATGTTTATATAGTATTTCGATCATGTGTCTTAGCGCTTGGCTCTGCTTTGTAGTTTATTTGTGTAACTGTCCTCTAGACTGTGCTTCTCAAGGGTAGGAACTGTATTTTACTCATCTTTGGGTCACCAGCACTTGGAGAGCTTCCCAAGTTTGTGTCCTGAATCCAGAGATGAAAGATGTGTTCCCTTGCACCTAAGGAATTTTTCCCGTAGTGGAGATGATCAATGCATCACGCTCAGATTTAAGAAAGGATGATAGGGGAGCATAGAGGAACACTGTCAGGGAAAGCTAGAGGAAGTGTTGCTTAAATTAGCATTTGAAAAGCCAATAAAAAGTCAACTAAATAATACAGAAAGAATTCAAGGCAAGATGCAGCTGGAGAGATTGTATCGTGTTGTTCTGAGTTTTACGTCAACGGCCAGAGAGCCATTGAGGGGTTTTAAGCTGAGGAGTGCCATGATTGATGTTTTAGAGAGGATGCCCTGTTAACAGACCAGAGGCAGGAGACCAGTCAGTAGGTCCCTTGTGTTTTTCCAGGTGAGAAGAGTAGCTGAACTAATGCAGCAACTGAGCTGTGGAGGGTGTAAACTTGGACATGGGTTGTGATGAGGAGCAAATGATCGCCAGGCTTCTGACTTGGGCAAGTGGCTGTGCCAGTCACTGAGACAGGAAATATCAATACCTCCCCCCCCCCAACTTTTGCTAGATTCTAAGACAGCACTCTGCTGATGCTCCTCTTAGTCTGTCCTCTGACACCTTGGTTACCAGTCCCTCGGTTACCAGGCCCTGAGGAACAGAAGGGAACTATGCTTGTACTCTAGAAGCTCCCACGCTAGAGGTCTGCGCGTTCCAGCTGTTGAGGCTCTCACCTATGCTTGAAGAAAAGCCTGCTTTGAAGTGATCTTTTCCTGGCTCTAGCAAGTGCCTTGCCCTCTCCACCAGGATGCCAAAGTCCTTGGGAAGCAGAACTGCCCTGCAGGTGTAAGGCCACTGTGGGAGCCGCTCTCCCATCTGTATCTTTGCCCAAGGCCAGTTTTCTCCTTGTTTGTTGTGTGGTCCAAATAAAAACTACTCTTCATTCTTAGAATGGATTGTCATTTTCTAATATCATTTGTTGTTTAGTACCTGAGGATTTCAGCCCACACTGTGCTTTATTCCAGCTGACACCACAATAAAAGCTGTTG